GCATTTTTCTATTTTTAATTTTAGTCTTCATCAACTGATAAACCAACAATTGATGATCAAAGTTTCCAATGCCGTAAAAACCGGATCATTTTTAGCGGTAAACCGCGGTTTACCAGCTAGGAGCCGGTAAATCGAACAAAACCGGCGGTTTAACGCGGTAAACCGGAAAAAAGTAGCGATAAACCGAAAAAAACCGTGGTTAACTGGAAAAAACCACCGGTTTTTCGCTGTATGGAAGCCGATAACCGGATCGGTAAAACCGCGGTAAACCGTCGGTTTTCTTCTGGTTTTCACTGCATGGGTTAGTATGGAAAGCTTCAAGAGAATTTATTAATAGTCTAGTTAAACAGGTGAATCAATCAAACTTACCAACAATTATTCCTCAACTAGTTCAAAATAATATGGTTCATGCTCGTGGCATACTTGCTTGTGCTATTATTCAAGCACAAGATGAATCACCAGATAATACTAAAGTTTATGCTGCATTAATAAGTATTATAAATCCAAAATTTCCACAAATAAGTCAATTAATCTGTAAACGTGTAATATCATTATATCGTGAATCATTTATGGCTGATAAAAGAAAGAAAACGTTTATAATGATTAAATTTCTTACACATTTGATTAATGAAAGGATGGTATGAATTTTTTTAATTTTATCGACCAAAACAATTCTAATATTGTTTTCTAATTTTTTTCTATTTAGTTACATGAAAAAATTGCATTTCAAATAATTGCTGTATTACTTCACAATGTTTCAAGTGATAGCGTTAAATTAGCTATTGAGTTTTTAAATCAATGTGGTCAAAAATTATCACAAGTTAATCCACAAGAATTAGATTCTCATTTTTCAACATTAAATAATTTACTTCATGGACCATTAATAACGGAACGTACAAAAGATATGATTAGAGTTTTATTCACTGTACGACGAAATCAATTTGAAGAATATCCAGCTATTAAATCTGGTTTGAATTCAGTTAATGAAAATGATAAATATACACATATGCTAGAATATCTCGATTTATGTGATCCTGAAACCATGCTTG